ACATTCGTACAATGTTCTGGAGCGCTAGCCAATAGGAGAGTGTTACATAGTCATGTCACTCTATTACAGAAATAAAAAAAGGAGTTCAATGGAGGCATGAAAAAAAACTCCGTCTGAAGGGAACTTGGGGATTTTAAAGACCATTTACATGCACAAAATACCTGTATCACACACAACAGGAAAGGAAGAACCCCCAAAACCATAATACAAATAGGGCCACTTTAATCTAGACCAGTGTCTTTTTGACTTCTTTATGTGCTCTGTAAAGAAATCCAACATGTTTTAAAGGTCACATCAACCAGTGGTATTCAAGGCTAATTTTCACCCTCAGAATAGCTGGTTTTCTATATTATAGCTGCTGCACTTGAATTACAGTTTCAGAACCATTAGATGCTGGCACATGCACATGCAGTATATGCTACTGTGCTGTGAAAGGCTTGTGCACATTTGTTTTTGCTGCTTTAGTTGACAAAATCCTTACAGTGGGTCCATTTTGTGTTATGAGATTTTAATGAGTCTTTCCTTGCTGTCAATGAAAGCCTGGCGGCGTGATTTGTCATTTTCATTTATCGTTTTATTTTATTGTCTCATGCCAGCTCAGTGAAGCCTTTTGAGACTCTAACTGCATTCAAGGGCTGTACACATAAACTTGACTTATTTATTAATAAGAACACTACAGAGCTGCATGAACACAGAGGTGTTAAAATCCATGACCTATAACACCTCAAATCAATGTGTGAAAAGACGATGATATTTGTTTTTGTGAGGCAACTCAGAAAATAGACTATTCTATATTAAGACATCCATCTTGGAGTTTTCAAACTTTATCTCATAATGTGGAATTTAATTTAGGCATCAACAACACAGATGGGGGGATATTACTGTTGCAGGTCAAAGGGTCCAGACCATCAGTCAGACTGTCGTAGATATAAAAAAATGTATGCTCACAATACAGAATAAAATTAACTTTGGACACAACCTGGAGCCCCTTCATATAGTGTTGTTTACTACAGGTCAGTGTCAAGATTTTACATCACACTGTCATTGGTTGTTAAGTTTAACATCATGATGCAAAATCTGGTGGAGAATCACTCAGTTTAACTGGAAAATATCTTATATATAAACTATGTTAATGTCAGTTGTTGTGTCTGTCTGTATGTCTATTGGGTTGCCTTACACTGCCCTTTACTCTGTGCATGCTGGGATTATATTGAGCTATATTTGATGTCACTACACCATGTACAGAAGTTGTTTTTCATCACTCCTTCTAACCGAAGGTGGAGATCTACTGCTGCAAAATCTGTTGATCCCTGTGTATCCAGCAGCATCATTAGTTGATGGTAAGGTAGAACAAAAAAACACTTCAGATTGTATTTGTCTGGGTAGCCATGGGATATGCTCTACATGCAGGTGAACAAAATAACTTCCTTTGTAAGCACATCCATGGTTATCAGTTCTATTGTGTAAAAAACAGAAAGTCCCTCTCCTCTTTGCTTGTGTTGCAAACATCATATGTGTAATTCGTGGCACAATTCAAACGGGATCGAAAGATAACTTTTCTCTCGCCATTGAGTTCAATACATAATTCTTCAGAAATTCTGGGTGTTTCTCAATGTCGAGGAAAGCTGCTCCAGAGCCACTATTTCCCAACAACGAAAATGGCATCCCAAAAAATGAGTGCAAATTATGTCATCAGTTAGTCAGGAAGCTTTTAGTAGGAAGACTGAATGCATCTATTAGGAACCTTTTTTGCGAACCTTTTCACCCCTTTTTAGTCCCTGCTAGAGAGGGACTTTCGTGGGAGAAAAAGGTTCCAATTTCTGATTGGCTGGGCGAATTGAAAACCACGCCCCGTAAAACTCTGAAAAGTTTTTGTGAAGCCGCCATTTTATTTGCTCGCATTAGCATTATTAGCATTAGCCCAGCGCACCAACGGAGAGAGACTAACTTATGGCAACACAAAAGAAAACATGGGAGTGGTGGAGTGATGAGGAGGTGTCGGCGCTTCTGGCATTTACTCGGAAGGCTTCAGTAGAAGCTGCTGGGAGTCTACCAAGTCCCCCAACTCCGGGGGACTTCTGGCCGGGGACTTTGGGTGGCAGGCGAAGTCCCTCCCTTTCCAGTGGACCTCATGGGACCTTATTTCGGAAAAATTATGTAATGAAGTCAATGGCAAGAGAAAACGTATCTTTCGATCCCGTTTGAATTGTGCCATGAATTACACATATGATGGTTGTCAATCTTAAAAAATCATTTCCATGTAAAAAAAGTCTTAAAACTGTTGAAATATAAGACTATGAAAAATACGCAACTAGAAAGACTACAAATCCCAGAGTCGCGTAAGTGATGTCCTGATGTCATAATTGTTTTCCTCCACTAAATATAAGAGATAGCTAAGATAAGATAACTTTAACAAAATGCCTGTGTGCTTTGTACCAGGTTGTAATCATACCAGCAATGAGTCTTGCTCGTTCTTTCGCTTCCCGTCTGATGAAAGGACCAGGAGTGCTGGATAAAGTTAGCTAACTAGCTAGTAGCAAGCACGTTAGTTAGCATTACAGCCTTAGCCTTGTCATTTTTATTAGCCTTAACATGAAGTAACATTAAGTAACCCAAAATGTTAAACAGTGTAGTAGTCATATTTCGTGAACTCTTTGAAGAGTACTGTCACACCGGTGTGATCATTCTATAATACACCGTTTAAGCCCGGATGACCCCGAGGGAGACATGCTAACGCTAATGTTACATTAGCATCGGCGATCTTTTCTACTTCATGCTATCTGCACAAATGGTTAACATTGAACATTAAAAAGATCAGGCAGTTCAGGCAGGCAGCTTTGCATGACATTCTTCTGGACATGTTTCATTGTGGTGATAGTGAGGGTAGTCAATCCCTTTTTTGGTAAGACAGTAGTGACGGCCATCTTGGTGACGTGTGTTGTTGTGCGAGACCAGAGATGTAGTTCATTGAGCGGTTTCACACAAAAAAATTCTTACTTCACAGTTTTACGGCAAACGTTTTTTTTTAACTTGCTAAATTATCTTTTAAATAGACAAACATCATATGTGTAATTCGTGGCACAATTCAAACGGGATCGAAAGATAACTTTTCTCTCGCCATTGACTTCAATACATAATTCTTCCGAAATTCTGGGTGTTTCTCAATGTCGAGGAAAGCTGCTCCAGAGCCACTATTTCAAGGATACTACGTCATCGAGTCCCGCCGAAGGACTGTTCCAATGTCCAGGATACTTGGAATTCTACCAAGGCCGGTGTACTTCGTTGCGGGAAATTTCGAGGCTGCACATGTGTAGACTCCGCGGTCTTAAAATCCCCACAATGCTTTGCGCACGGACCAATTTCCAAATCTTTGGCGGAAATCGCGCTCCATTTAAGGCGGGGCCTCGCATATGACGCACACCTGAACACCTGTTAGTCTGTTCCACAATTCTTCGTTTTCCAAGGCTAGGAAGGATTCTTGCCTCGCTTCTGAAGCAACTGACTCTGAGGTACATGTGCTACCAAGCAAGCCTCCTCGACATTGAGAAACACCCAAGGTCCCATGGAGGTCCACCGGAAAGGTGAAGTTCCGGGAACTATTCCTGGGAAAAGTACTTGGTGTGAAAGCGCGTCAACTAACAGCAGAAACCAGATAGCAGGAAAGATACTTATTATTTTGCTTGGGCAGACTCATTTCTGGCTGCCTGGACAGGAAATGCAGTTTGACAGTTTTTTAGTGTACGGACAAAGTCTTTACCAAACTGTGTGTCAAAGACCTGTCCAGACAATATTTATTCTGTTGCCTCTTTCTCCCCCCATGCAGACTCTTTCTGTCATTTCACATCTAGCCTCTGAGCTCCATTTCTATCACCTGACCTTCCACTTACTCACCTGCTTCCCATTTCCTGCTCAGCATAGCAGTATTTTTACCAGGCCATCTCCTCTTATTCTCAGCCACATTGCTATAGGTTGCATTCATTCTTGCTTTACAGCCTTTGTTTCTGCCTGCTTGACCCTTTGTCTGAAATTGATTGATGATTCCTCACCAGCATCCCATTCTTCTGGTTATGTTTTCCAGTTTTGACCGATTACCATGTCATACTTTGAAGGTCAAACTTGTTGCATTTCTGAGCCAGTATACTGTGCCTCTTTTGGAACAACACTCTTCTCACCACACAACATAGTAAATTAGAAGTTTTTATTTTCCATGAGTCAAAATAGATCCTGGCATAGCCCCACCTGCAGGCTGATCTTTGAAATTAAATAGGGGGGTTATAAAACGTTGCCACATATTTGAAGGTTCCAGGCATGTTGGTCTCATAGGTCCAACTGGTTTGAAAAAAGGTAGCACAGGGAGAAGAACATCGTAATAAATGCTAAAAGAGTTCCAGCACCAGCAGTACTTGGACCTGTAGCTGCAGCTAAAGACACCTCTTAAGGCATTTTCCCCGTTGAGCTATTGAATCAAAGTGTGTCTCTGGTGTACTTATAGGCTGGATTATACTTGACGCCCAAGGTAAGGAAGGAAGGAAAAAAGGAATTGAAGGAGTCACCAAAGAGCCAGAGGGGGGTTCAAAGCCTGCAGATGAATCTTTGTCATTGGAGCTGTGATGGGTGCTGGGAGGGAAATCGCCCCGGGCCAGTCTGCAGGATCCCGTTACTTGTTCATTTTAAATTTCTCCGGAAGAGTATTTTTTCATTGCAGACTGTGTTATTCTTGTGTCCTACATAAATCCACTCAGTGAAAAAACCACATAGGGCAAAGAGTCACAAAGCACTTCCCTTTCCCTTTTAGATTTATCTAATTAATTCCTGTTTAGTTAAGTGCTTCCTCATCTTTTTAATGACTCCAGAATGTCTAGGCTGAGGCAATATATAAATAATTTGAAATGCCAGCTACCGTAGAATTTCCTGTGTTCGTCATCGAGGGTTTAGGGCATGAATACAGCAAGATTACACGTGAAACCCTTCCTGTTGAGGAATGACAAGATGACGCATGCTGTTTAGTGGAGCCAGAACATTTAATACACCATCGCAGGAGACATGCACTTGCAGCACTTCACTCAGTCCCCAACTGTAGCTCTCATTTTGAAAACACATACAAACCAAGAAATAATTTAGAACAAAACACTTATTAAAAAAAAGGATGGTTACACTTTTTTATACATGTTCATATTACTGCTTCATAAAATGTATCACAAAAATTAGCTTTTTGACACAGAGCAAACCATAGGAACCGACTCAGATAAAACACTGACACTGTGCGTCTTGATAGTTAGCAGAAAAACTGTGAAGTGGTGACACCCGAGAGGGAATGTCACAGAGAGGACAAGGGAAGAAGAGTCTGTCGAGGGAGGAGGAAGAGGAGGAGGAGGAGGAGGAGGGGAGGAGGAGGAGGGGGTCTATATTGGTCCCTCTCTGATGAGAAACAATCCAAGTGTGCTGAAGAGCGAGGGATGGGTCGATCGCTAGGCGTAGAAGGTCTCTACTTTCACTGCCTGGCAGAACATCGTCATAGAGAAGACCAGGCCCAGGATCTGCACAAACACAAATCACCCATTAAAACCTGGCGTTAATGGCTTCAGATGTGTAGTCAGTGAAATGTTAGGCATAATACATTTTTTTACAATAAACTTCAAAAACATTTTACCCATATCTAAAATCTCATTACATTTATTTCTTGAATGATAAAAAGAAAAGCGTCCACAACAGCATCCAATCTGTGCAATATTCATTTTGTTTATCACACAGATTGGAGTTTGTGGACACACTTCTGTTTTTTTAATAAAACAAAAATAGTTTTCCTCTATCTCAGTGAAATACACATAATCACTTTTTCAATTTGAATGCCACTCTGTTGTTATTACTTTTTCTTATTTTTTAATCTAAATGCCAAGTAAGTCAACATTTGTGTTGAACAAAATATAGATTTGAAAGTTTTACAGTCATTTTCACTGTTGACATCAGATGGCCCATTTCCTACGTTTTTTTAGTTCATCATTAACTAAATCTGCGCAAAAAAGAATAGGCACCACAGAAGATAAAAAATACACATAAACATCCAAACATAACATAGTTATAAGAGCAATAATATATTGAAAATAAAATGTTCTGCACATAACTATGCAGTATGTACGGGAGTGTGAGAATGCATCCAAATTAAGCTGGTAACATTTGAGCATCTTCTATCTCTCTGTGTCAGTCTTCCAATGAAACTAAAACTGAATTTTTCTCACCCCAAAAATAAGCATAACCAAAATGGCCTCCAGAGTGTACATCCTAACATTCCAGTTTATGTTTCGATGGGGTAAACTGAAGAGCTTTAGCAAAACTGTGAAAAAACTGCTTTGTGTGCCAGAAGGGTTTAGAGGACAACTTTAAGTCCCCTCCAACTTTATCTGCCGTCATTCATTTGAAATGTCAATAGAGCCAAATACACAGCTGTGGTATTAAAGTAACACGACCAAATCAGTGTTAATCTGGGCCGCCTGTTGTGCAGTAGAACAAAATGTTAGAGAAAAACAAGAAGAGATTTACTCTTTTTTTGTTGTTTATGTGTTTAACTGTTCATTGAGAAAAACTGTATGGAAACACATTTACTGTATTTGTAGACACAAATCATTTTCATTCATAAATACTTTTTTAAAATTCAGATGGCTTAATGTAGAAGTAGTCTGAGTATGTGTTTCCGTTGATGGATGAAATAAGGTGCTCTCGCATTCATATTAACCATTTCCATGTGTTACAAATCATGGATGTAACGGCTGTAAAATATTTATTTGTGGTTATCTAAAAAAAACCTATCCCTTTTTTCCATTTCTATATAAACATATTGTGACTTTTATTTAAAATCTGTATTGGAGGACTTTGAAAAAGCTGTGCTCGACCAAACTCCTTAATGCAAAACACACAATTAATAATAATCGAAGCTAATGAATGATGCTAAAGTGTAACGTAACAATGGTAAAAACAGAAAGACATGACTGTCATTGAGCAATGTCTGTTATCAGTTCCTCTAAAGTTGGCTAACATTGAACATCATGAACTACTGGTCAGATCTGATGAGGTAGATCTGCAGCAGCTGAAGATGATTTCGTAGAGTTACATTAACACGTTTGCTTTTCTTTCCTGTACTTAAAGCATACTTGAGTCAGCCGGCAAACATCTCAGATATTGAGGTGAAGTGGCAAAGATTGTTTCTTTTTCTCATTTTCATTTTGCTGTACAGATTTTGAAGAAGGGCACAGAGGATCTAACCGTTGACTGAAAATCAGCCTGCAGCCTCACAGGATTGTCTTGTGATTGATGCTTTCAAGAACAAAGTATTTCTCCTCTCAGCTTGTGTAAACGCATCACGTACCACTTGGCTGAAAGGAGAAATACATTTTTCTTACGGAAAGTCAAATCCTCCTATGTGGTCCATGGCGGAAACACAAGAGGCTTACAAGTCCAGATAAATCCTCTGTTCAGCTTTTAATGCAGAGGACGTTGCGACTATTAGGTTTATTCATCACAAAGAAAAAGCCTCTGTCTCAGGCTGCAGATAGCAAGCACCCAGTTAATGACTGCTGAAAAAATAACTTGCACAACTTAAAAGCTGTAATTACCTGAGTAAGTGCTGTGCATAGAGCAAAGATCCAAAGAGCCACCAGGTTCTCATTAAGCCAGTCCTTTACCCTCTCGTAGCACGGCTGTGGAGACAAACACAAACAGCATTAGCACAACAACAAAAAAACACAAAATGTAAGCATTTAGATATTCAGAGCTATATGATACATTACAGCAGTTATTTTCCTACTTTAGCTGTGTTATTAAATGTTCTTTGGCTAAAAATATTCCCAGTAGCAACACTTTTATCTTCCTTCTCCTCCTCTGACCTAATATTCTTTGGGTAAACTTTCCAATTCTCAAGCAACTCTCCACTGTCCTTGTTTCCCCTGAGCTGGAAACAGGAGTAATGTGGATACAGGAGCAGCCATCCACCATAGATGTCATTTAGACATTGAATGCTTGAATGCATCTTGAAGGCAGCTTGACAAAAAACCCTTTCATTGCTTCACCTTTTCTTTTGTCATAACCTAGAATATATTTCAAAATCACTTTTCAAGCTTTGGGAAAATGTCCTCGAGCAGTATAGGGCCCAACAAAGAAGAAAGGAAAGATAACTATCATTAATAGAGAAAATAGCGAAAGGCCCTTCTGGGTCAGGGATGTGAGCAAGTAATGAAAAGGGAATGAATGCTGAAAGAAAAGAAAGCTTTCTAAGAACAGTTGAAGGTGACATTAAAGCAGATGGGAGGTGGCACATGGCTCCTTCACCTCTTCAGAAGACATTTAAAAGATGTGTGTGCCACACTGTGTGTTTGATTATGTAACATTAGATCAAAGACTGTCTGACATAGTGTAAAAAAGGAAAAAGGTGCTATCATAACAGTCTACACCGCTGCTCTAAATTAATTATTCATTTCTGCAGACATGCCTTCCCGATTCTGCTTGTTTAAAAATCTCCTTACATCAAGAAGCTGAGTCAGAGCAGGGGAAACCGAACACTACTCTACATTTCACTGCTGCCTGTGACATCAGGGAAGAAAAAAATATATGTTTTCCATAACACAAGGGGAAATAATTCTCTGCTGGATCAATATGGAAAGTCTTGCAGTCGGCCAAAAATGTGTTGAGCTTCAGTGTTATTTATTAAACCGCAGCTAAACTGCAACCTGGACCACAGAGCTGCACCTGAAAATAAATAAATTCATATTTTGATTGTACGCCGTCCACTGCAGACTCCTATGAAACCATAAAAAACAAATAAGTGAACCTGAACCTGCTGGACCAATCCCAGTACAGGGAGTGTTGAAAAGTTGTGTGGTATGCGACTTTAAAACTCTGGATACAGTGGGGGGCTCTCGGTGGCCCGTGCTGACACAGCAGTCTTTGTCCCGGTCTTTATGTGATTTCTCATCAGCACTCCCTTGCCTGGACCTGCTGCACCTCCCTCTCTGTCCTCCTCCTCTCTGATAATAAGATGTTCTGCTCTGCGTAGGAGGCTCACTTAAAAGCTCGGAAAACTCAGTAGGTGTATAATTGGGCTTAAATTATTTTGTGACACAGACCGTAAAACAAATTATCATTAATAATACAAACCATGCCTCTCAAAACATCCCTAATCGCTGTTTTATGGAAAATAAGGTTTATTTAGGCTCAGAAAACGAACTGGTTAGAGTTAATGACAGTTCAAGGTCATGGTTAAAGAGTAACAAAAGGTAGGTTCACTTTCTCAAACAAATGTGAGATTTCTTCCAGTCACAACTCTTTTGGTTCAAAAGAGTTCTTCTTTATTGTCCAGTCAACATTAGAAAGTTTTCAAACTAAAGTCTAGAAAAAACACCCCTATTTCTATTTAGAGTTTTGCACGAAGCCAATCACTGCAAGTGTTATTTGATTGCAGCTTGGTTGATTCACTTTTGCAGCAGCTGCAACCCCTGGTCTGTAGGAAAAAAAAGTATCAGTTCAAGTACTCTCTCTGTATCAGTATCACTTTGATAGGACTAGTACCGTGCTGCTAATTGTATTAACAGAGAGAAGCACGATGATGTTTCAGTAGAGCTGCAGTGGAGGCAGATCATTATATATAACTCAGACTCACAAAGCCTCACACAAGCTTCAGTTAGAGTTTAGCTCAAATATGTAATTTTGCACAGAATAAGGTCTCACTATTTCTTGCAGGAATTCAGCATGAGGAGCGATGATATCAAGCTAAAAGACTCAAAAGAAAAGCTGAACATATCGTTAATCAAAAATCCATATTTTTGAGTGAGTAAAATACATGTATCTGTCACATGCCGAAGTATTTTGAATAGTTTATATTGGACGGTTTTATACTTTTAAGGCTGATTTTATTGTGTGCGATGCATTGTGGGTTTCTTAACTGGTTTTACTTCCTGTTGCATGCTTTTATTTGGAAATGTTTAGACTTTGATTTAAACCCCTGTACTTCCGCATTGCTGATTGACACTGACATGCCACAATTAAAAGCACCTGGAGTCAATTTGCAGGTAACAGCCCTGCTTATACAAGAAGACAGACTGGGAGAGACAGAGGACCGAGGACAGAGGACAGAGGACAGAGGACAGAGGACAGAGTGGGAGAGAACCAACCAAGAAGTGCAATAAGAGAGACCACAGCAGTCCAGGGCAGAGACATTTTGTGAGAAGCTGAACACTCTCAAGCAAAATAACTGATGTTGATTGTATAAGAGTGACTGCTGCTTGTCTGCATTTGAACAACCATTGCTGTTATTTTTATGGCAATTGAACTCTCAATGTTCAAAACCCCCACGTTATCTACCTACAGAGGAAACTTTGCTGCTTTTAAACTATGAATGTATCTGTGTGTGCATCAAACCAACATGTGTGTATATTTGTATTTGCTATCAATGAGAGCATAAGGAGATACTTTCTTGTTTTCACAAATACCTGGCTGACACCAATAGACCTTACACCAAGGATCCAGCTTTATTCCACTCCAGTGTGTAACTGCCATTACACATGGTTGTGTTGCTCCATTCATGTTTAACACACTGGGCCTTAAGATTTACAATAAGTACTTGAAAATGGAAAAGAAAAGATATGGATATAAAAAGAAATCGGTATTATCGAGAGAACTGTAATGGTTCAATGTAAACTGAATGAGTTCTTTATCGGCGGGGCCAGCATTAATAAAACCACCAGATTAATTGGTCTTTCAGAAGGGCTGGTGGGATTCAGAGGTCTGTACGTGAAGGCCAACAAGCTGTCACCTGAAGGATGTAAATATGCATAATTTAGAAAGATTTGTAACTGGGTTATGCACAATGGGGTATCAGGGAAGGTATAAGAAAAGCATTTTCAAAGGTTATGGCTTTCCTTTCTAAAATCGAAAATAGCTGAAGTTTGGCCTTTCCTCTGCTGAGTGGACAAATTAAATAAAGCTGCAAACAATTGGAGTAAAGGGTTTGCATTTAAGGATGAAAGGCTGTCTACTCCCACCTGTGACCATGGTGGCTTTTCGTGTAATCTGCCATTTGCAAGGCTGACGTGGTTTACTAAAGATTTATTTCAGTTACTAAACTAAAGAATGAGATGGTTTGAAAGAGGTTCTCTGGCTGACTGCAGAACATATACAAGGCAGTCTTTCAGAGTTTGATAACCATTATATTCCACTGCATGATGATAAAAGCTCACAAGGTTCATTAAGTAGTGCCTGGAACTTTCATCAGCAGAATTTGCTTTGTTGTCATACCAACTTAGGTACTCTCTCCTCTCAATGACAATTTTCTTAAAGCACTGAATAGTTTCCCATGACAACTAGAGGCCTCCCTTTGCAGATGAAGGTCGCGTGATATGGTGAAAAGTCTCCGAACAGCTACTTAAGGGACCTTGTACCTCAAATTACATGATTTGGGATATTGTATACTCTTTGAATGAAATTTGTATTTACATGAAATGTATTTCATTTTTTAATGTGTGACAGACAGATCTAATGTGGAGCTCAACCAACCGTGACTCTTTCTTCAGACGACATCTGGCCCACTTGATATGATTTTTGAAATAACCCGTTTTCCATTTTGTTGCATCGACTCAATAACATCTGAAGCTACGCTGAAATCATTGCCATGTTCATCATCTTCACTCATTATGATTAACAGGGCCTGTTGTATGGATGACAGAGGCTGACTACTCCGGCTGTTAATTGGCCTGCGTTTGTTAATGATGACAATGCGTTGACTTCAAACTTATTTTTAACTTCCCTGACATCACTGCTTATTGTGACACATTATCTTTCATACTGATCCTCCAAATAATAGTGCAATAATCAGCTTTTGCAGTTAGCAGAGCTGAACAGCAGCTGTTGTGTAGGCTTGCTGCTTTTTTGTTCTTTTCATTTTGTCTTTCTTAAGTGAACTGAATAAGTTATGAGCATTTAGATGTAAACAAGCAAAGATAGTGTTTCTTCCTTTTATAGCTACAAGACTTCTCAGGTAACGCAGGTTTAAAGATAAACTACCTTTTGTTTTATTTAGTTTAGGAAATGTTTTTTTCCGAAAAAGTGCAATGCGATATGTGCTATTGAAGCATTAACCTGGTTCTTCTGTGTTGTTTACAAACTTACAAATGTATGTCCATGTAGAAATAAATTACTTTATCAGAGATACTCTAACCAATAACTTTAGAGACTAATCTTGTTCAACCAAAATACTCTACAGTTCTCCTCACCTCTTGTGTTCCTTTACATAAAGTGATGGTACTGTCTTTAAGCTAATTGCTTTCCTATTTTACAGCCTGCAACTTTACAGTTTGGGCTCATTAAGCACTTCTGTTAACCTTGTTTCCATCTGCATCAGGCAGCTGTGTTCAGTCAAAAAGCTGGAGCATTCAGTCGCTAAAGAGCCAGATATTTTATCTCAGAAGTTGGCCGTGATCAGCCAAAAGATAAAAGCAGGCTGAATATTAGCTAGCATTTGCCAGGTGGCCTGAAACACTTCAAACAAATGCAAATGTTTCTCCGAATTTGCTGGATATGTAAATAAGCAAATGTTCACTAAAACGTTGATATTAACTTTCCAAAATGATCAAATGTCAATGTTGTGTTTACAGCTTGTTGGGCTGCCTTCATTTTAATGCACGTTGACATTTTTTTGTATTGACTGATAATGGAGCCATCAAGTAAGCCTATACATATGCTTTCTACTTCTCTAATTAAAAGGCGGATAAAATATCCCAATTAAGAAAAGCTAACTACATTTGCATCTAAGATTAGATTTTCTGAGCCGTATGGTCAGGTGGGACCAATAAATTAAGAGGACCTAAAATCAAACCCTGACGGATCTCACAGGAAACAGTGGACTAAAGATGGGAATTAAAACAGACAGAGAGCCTTTGGATAAATCTGTCAAAGACCAGTCAACGTCAGAAACACCTGCTAAGAATAGGTTGGTCTGCTGTGTCAAAGGATGTGTATACATCTAGAAGGAGTTCACAATTTGATGCATCAGCTGCCAAAAGGACCATTAGTCAAGAGGCCTGTTACTGTCCGATAGAGCCAGACGTATGAAACCAGACTGGCATTTGGTACAGTGAGAAAAAAAGGAGATTTCTTTCTTTGACTTGCATTTTGAAGGATTTTTTCTAGCTCTAGCTTAATTTAATGACTGAACACCCGTTGGGTCTAATTGTGTTAATGACAACTTTATGGGAAGAGTGTCGAGAGAGCAGGTGGTTGCTTTCACGTGAGACACAATATGCTTCAGTTCAGGAAAGCAACTGCAGTAAAAGATTTCAGCGCAGCAGAGTATCTCAGGTCAAAATAAGGCAGAGTAATTAATGGTCTGAATGAATGTGTTATTAATACCAGCTGTCCCCACTACATATTATCTCGACACACTCAATTAACTCTCCCGTAACAAATCCTAGTCTTTCTAAATCATGTTACATATTCAGATGAATGTATTTGCATACTTTCTGTAGCAATATTACATATATATTACATCATTTGTTACATATTCATTAAGACAAACTTGCAAAAATGATGTAGCTTGTATTTCTTCCCTGTTGACTGACGCAATACTCTGCTGCACATCCTGTTTTCACCAGCATTAATATTCATGCTCACCGCTCTTGGCAGAGTTTTTCACATGACACAAATGAGTTTTAACTACATTGCCGACCCTTTTTTCCTCATCTGGTTTGCCATCAGTTATCGTTTTTTAAATTGTCAGGAGACATAGTCTGTGTGGCATTTTATGGTCTAAAAGATGTGAAAAGATACCTCGTTTCCACCATCAAGTGTTACGGAATATGCACCTGCAGCATTCCTAATAGATGTTTATGAATGTAAAATCTAACTTTAACACTTTATTTAACTCTATTGAGGTAATGCAAGCTATGGTATTGTATATATGACCTTATAATTGATATAAGCCAAAGAATATTACCTAAATTCACAATATATTAGACTTGCTGAAATACTTTCTTTAGTTGTACAAGTACACAACCTGACTATCAACATAGTCAAGCCTTGAATTGAATAAATAGCCAGTTTGAGGTTTCCTGTGCATTTAGTCTGTCTGGAAAAATCTTGTTAAATGTAAAAAGGAAAAATGATATAAAAGGAGGAGTATCGCAAACATGTCAGAGATCACAGAGGTGGACTTTTGGTTGACTATAACGTAACTGTGATGCCCCTGTGGGTTCATCTGGAGAGGGTGTGACTGTGCTGCATCCAGCCTCCTTGATTGCCTTGATTGCAGTAACTCAGGGGCACCTGGATCTGGTGCCCTGCAGTTATTTAAAGCCTCTGCTCCACTCTGTCTCTCTCTCTGCTTCTCCCTGCAGGCACCCCGGTTTTGTTGAGTATGCTATGAGTTTCTTAAGTTGCTTCACTTTGTGCACTTCAACACTCTCACACTCATACATGTCCATACAATCCTCACCCTGCATTTACACCACTGATACCACTGACATCCACACCTCATACTTGACTTGCTTTGCACTTAATTAATTTGGTTGATTTGAATGTTTTGCTTAAATAAACATCTTTTGTTCAACGTGGATATGGTGTGTCTCTTTGTTGTGGCCTTTTGAGCCAGGTCATAACAGTAACATACACTGAGTTATGTGGAAAAGAGACCTTAAAGATATGCATCTCAGGTATAAGACCTTTTAAAGCTCAGTTTTTCTTTGTATTTGTGAAGTATTATCCAACTTGTTTGCCATTTACTGTAGTAGTGTGGTTGCTTTCTTAAGTTTATGTCACATTCTAGAAATTCAAAACAGCTCTGTTCACAGTGAGTCGAAAAACTGATTATATGTCAGATGAACTTTAGTCGCACCAGCAGTCCTTCTGGACAAAAGTGATTTAATTCAACTATGAATCCCTCACTATTGGCTTTGCTTAATTGGACAATTTGGGAGCCAAGTTGTTTTTCAACAGATTACCGTTTACTTCAATTTTTTAAATCTCCTTGGTACCAAAAGAAAAGCAGACATTTTAGTCATATTAATTATGTTCCCTGAATGATTTGGGATTAAATGAGGAATTAGCGTGCCTTTTGTTATTACAAATTTGCATTTAAATTAGACTAACACTGGGACGACCCCACTCACTTTGTTTTTCTTTTCTTTGTTTTTTCTTCTGTTCCTGAAATAAATGAAGACTTGGTTCCCTGACACAGGTAGAAACTAACCAGCAAGGATCAACTAAACATTTTGTTAAGTAGGTTGTCAAACTCTAATCAAACTTTGCCTAATAACGGTTGCTTAGTGTGATCTGATACTGCTGGGAAATGTGTTTATCAAACAAAGATATATACAATCCTGTATAAAATGATTAAAGTTAGTTATGTAGCGTCTTTTGGAAGCACATGTTGGTTTTGATGGCAGAGCTTACCGCTGTCCACCATGTTCCTGGGTTGTCCAGGCCACAGTTGTCGCTGTACTCCAGGCAGCAGGAGTCCGGCACGCGGCTGGCGTTGTAAACCTCAAACCAGTCTGTGTGGTTGGTGACTCCACAGCAGCGAAACTGCATCAGAGAAACACAATGAGTCAGGAGAGTCTGGCCTTTTATCGCCGTGACACTAAAATACTAATGCATGATATCTCCACTAATGGAAACTAAATTATTGACCTGAATAGAATATGATCTAGTGGGCAAAACAATCATATGTGCTGGGCATATAAAACATTTAATCTTTCAGATATTGAGCTGCAACCCCTTTTGGTGCAATCCACATCTCATTTGTCTCAGAGCCCTAAAATCATTTTCTAACTCGCCTGCTTCTTGTTATCTGCATCTTCCCCCTTTGTGATTGCTATGGATTTTTGATAAGGGATCATGGCTTCCACCACAATTCAATTCATCAGTGTACTCGGTGAAAAGATAAAGTGCCCCTGATGTTTTGTGCATTGACTGGACATTATTTCCACACAGGAATGATGTTGCTCGAGCTGCTCCACACGCTGCTCTGTGCACAGAATCAGAGATTGTGTGTTAATTTAAAACTCGCTCATTTAAGAACGGATCAATTCTGCAATTTATCATGAAGTACAGCTCAATTTGGATATCCAGAAAGCATCTGAAGCATAGTTTTAAGTTTGAGTATAAAACAAAGGCTTGAAAGAACACAGCCGGAATATTCAAGTGTATTTCACCTTGAAAAGTTTACAACAATTGAGGCAATGTTACCCTTTATGATTTATTGTGCCGACATTTGGCGCTTTGTACATGTTTTTACTACTTCTCCTCATGTGTGAAGATTCTCTTCCATTCCATAAGCAGCCATTAATAATATACAGGGTGAACTTTGCTCCAGGGACATCTGCTGTATAATCTATTCAGTGACTCAGCATGAACAAGGGAAGCCAGGGAGGGAGAAGGGTGACAGAAGGAGAGCTGCCTTTAATGGACTTCCTCTCAGCCAGACTGTATGGAGCCCTATACATTCATACAGGAAAAAAATGCACATTCATTGTGGCTCATTCCAGCTACATTTCCATGTGTTACTATCCTGTACGCAGAAAAAAAGACCTAACTAAAAAGAAGAAACGCATTAACACCCACACATGCATACATTAGCATATATTATTTGCATAGCAATACATTTCTCTCTCGTCATGCCTCTGCAGGCCCTATACGCGCACCCACATGCACAATATGCCTTGCAGACACTAAACACGCATGTACACAAACTAGAGCCAAACACTCTGTGATGACTGAGCATGTGCTAATGGAACCAAACTAAAGCACACAGTCTGATGTGAAAAAGGTCTAAAGAGCCCTGAAATCTACAAGTACAATCTATCATTTGATGTCTCCCAGAGGCATTCACCAGCAGCGGCATCCGTCCTCCGCAATCCTTAATTCCAAATCTCTATTCCACACATTACATTGTGAAGAAAATATAAATAAATAATACAAAGGGAAAAGCACATCAAAGTGAGAGCTGGAAAGATTACCTCAGAGAGTCTACAGTGTTTGCATGAATCTCTCTGGCAGCATTTTACCACAGCATTTAAACCCGCAAAGCTAAAAGTGCTTGTTACTGTCGGTTGAGACATTTCATACACTTTTAATGATGCCACTTGGTTTTAGATAGCCAGTATTTTATACCAGCCTTGTTAATGTCCAGATCCCGTTGGCTACAGGAAGGATTGCAGTGTTTTATTAAAATTAGATTTGATTGAAATCAAATGGCCCTTCAACATTTGACAACTCCGTTTTAATAAAATGTGATCACAGTGGAACAAATGGTGAAGCCTTGCCAATAAGTAAGCACTGCAACAATGAATAATTTAGTCAAACTGTCATGTATCTGAGCTTTTGACAAGGTAATTTGCAAGACTTGTTAAATGGCATTGAAGTTAATTTTGAATAGACTGTATTGTTCTCAATAGATGTTTTTTTAAGAGCTTCATCACCTCAGCAGACTGTGACTGAGAGGAAGAACAATTTATTAAAACTTCTAGGCTTTGTGTCATAAATAACTCAGAACTTGTGCTTTATATCAGCACTGCCCGTCCCTTCCAGTGGCCCCACAACTTACATCAGTTTGTACTATCATCCAGGCGTTGGTCAGACCCACATTTCCCTCCGTGCCGAAGAGCTGCAGGCCCTTCTTCAGATCCCTTTGGGCGTAGTGATCAATCTGATAAGACAGGGAAGAAAACATGGCTGTGTCAATCACTGTAATTTAACACATTTCATTTCTACCTGTGTGAGTTCGAGTTTTCAGGGAACAAATGAACTCAAAAGCTAACAAATAACCCAAAATATTCCCAGTTCTCCTGTAAAATCTGTTACAAAGTAATGGGTTTTTTAATATAATTCTTATCTAATTATTATTAAAAAAGCAGTATTCATTGTTAATCATCTATTTATGGTAGACCAGGGCTTCACATTATAAACATGAATATAATAGAAATAAATAACATTGATCTTCTTTTTTCTCAGGGCAGGCCATTTGTCTTGGTCTCACAAACAATAACACAATACAAGGAAAAAACTAAACTCAATATAAAACACACATTACAAATACAGCACAGCATGGGTTAATAAAACATATTAAAATAACTCGGCATTGGAATACTTTGGTGCTGTTGGTTTATTGTATTGATTGCACACACAAAGGCTCCCTTTATCTGTATTTGTGTTTGCCCACTGTCTCGTCTTGCATTGGGCATTTAGTGACATTAAAAACAGACACGTTGATCCTGACTGCCTGCAGTTTCTCCTGCCAAGCACCAGAGGTGGAGGAAGTACTCAGATCTTTTACTTATAACAAAAATATCAAAGTGTATTACAATTCTGATACAAAAACCCTTGAAGCTAATCCTACTAAATTATATAAATAAACATCCAAAGATAAATATCATTGGATTTAGTCACGCATTAATGTGTTCATCTCTTGATTGTTGCAGCTGGTAAAGGTGGGGTTAATTTAAATACAAATTACAAACTGCAAGGTAGCTATTAGATTATTTAAATGTTTTATGGATTTTAAAAAGTAATATATTAGTAGAAGTATAAAGTGACATAAAGTACCTCAAAACAGTACTTAACCCTTAGATGCACGAGTGACTGGATATAGTCTTCCATAAGTGGGTCGAAAAGGACCCGTATTAGAATAATATGTGTTTTTACTGTATGCCATTTTTGTCATTTATGTTAAGAAAAATCACTTGTATAATATTTAATATTATATTTTGGTTCACACTAGAAATATTTTATATTTAATTTTTCACTATTTATAATTTTAGACATTTTTTTTACATTTTGAAAAAAATACGAAATTCCATAGAAAATGCATGCGGGTCATTTTTGACCCACTTATGGAAGCTTGGGGTAGTAATACGAAAACTACAATTTCTTAAAATGTATAAAATTTAAATTTAAATTTTGAATGGCATGATATCCAAAACATGTTTTTTGAGGAATAGCTGGAATATGAAATGATAAAAAAATGTAATTACAAAGATACTTCAAGAAAACCACCTCACCGGGTCAAAAAAGACCCACTTATGCATCTAAGGGTTAAGCAAAAGTAATTGGTTGCATTCCACCAACACTAAGCACAACTAAATGGACCGATGCTCATACTCTGCTAATATTTCCTACAGTGTTTTCACAAGGTATTAAGACTAACAAAGTTTGGCCAGCAGTGGAAACAAATCCACTTGAAATCCACTGCTGAAATCGGCTTTGTCTGGGCCAACACACAGTGTCTGTTCAATAAACAAGCTACACGCAGATCCATGCAGGTTTCATTTAGAAGCTTTGGATCAGCAGTCAAGACCTAAACAAACAAGATAAAAACATTTAACAAAATCAGCTTTTCTATCACAGAAAACAAACTGTAGGTGAGAACACAGTCACAGAGATAAACATTCTCAACGCGAGGCAATGCACGGGTACTGAACCTAAAATACATACATAGTTTAAAAATCAACAATACAATCAGAGAGACACACACACACACACACACACACACACACACACTGCTCAACCTTGTTTACAGATTTAGATGGTCGATCCCATTAGTCATTGATGCATTGATCTCCACTGACCTTGTTCTTTACTGCACCGCAGTCTACACCAAACTCCTTGTTGACTTTCAAACACCCAACAAACAACATGACCTTAATTTTGGCAAACAGCATGTCAATGTTGAATATGGGTTGCTGCATTAATTTAGTGGTGAACCTTGGCAGTATAATAAGTAATTTAAAGGGATATAGAGGATGCGTTTTTTGACCAGAGGTATTTTTAGCCTGTGGTGGATGAAGTACTAAGATCTTTTAATTAAGGTTTTACCCATTTGACTATGTTTTGCATTGTTAATCTGAATATTCAAAGATACCAAAGCTGTCAAATAAATATAAGTGCAATATCTGACTGAATCCAGAAGTCCAAAGTAGCATAAAATGGAAATACTCAGGTGAAAATCAAATGTGTACTTGATTTTACCTGAGTAAATGTATTTAGTAACTGTCAACCACTGTATGTGGAAAAGCTTTCCAACATATAACGCTCACCGTAATACGTAAAGGAGGCGGTCCTTAATGGAAAAAGATTACCATGATCATGGATCCCAACACGGGGACAGTAGCCATCATGAATACAAAGTGTTGTGCTCTCGACAAATATGAAAATGAGCTTTATTATCCTTAAATGATCCAAAAAATATCATGGATTTAATCAATCAATTACATGTTATAAATAAAGCCCAATACTCCAAAAATACACATTTGTCTCAGGATGCTTTACATCTGAAACAAATACAACACCCTCTGTCCTTACATCATTTAACAAGGCAAATCATGAAGCTAATTCTCCCAGCATTGTGTTATATAGAAAGGGACTCATAACAATCAGACAAAAGACACAGTTAATCGGAAAAGACATATTGAGGAAATCAAGAGAAACACTGAATTAACATAAACGGACACACAAAGATGTGAAACTCTTTATGTATCATGTTTCATCTTGTCTGCCTGTTTCTTTTTGGTTGGTTTTTTCAAATTGTGATTTAACAACAGTCCATGTTAATCACAGAACTGTAAGGAATGCGTGGAAGGGTAGGACCCAAATGCAGACTATCAGAAAAGGTAAACGGTCTCGAAACAAAAACGAGCTTTATTCTCAAAGCTTAACAATAGCATGGCATGAAACACATAGGTTCTACAGAAAACTGACCGTGACCAACATGGTGGGAGACAGGAGAAACAAACAATGAACCGACAGGGGAACACAGGAAGAGACAAGACTAAATACAGAGAGGGGTAATCACAAGACGAGACACAGCTGGGGTAAGGGAGGCAGAAACACAAGGGCAACAGGTGAACACAATCAAACAATCAGACACACCAGGGAAACTAAGACAGGAAGGCAAACACAGGAAGAAGGAACAGAGAAGACACGAGGAAAACATTTCAAAACAAAACAGGAAACCAGAAAAAGACAAGACAAAACACAACACAGACAGATCGTGACAAGAACAGTTTGCTCAATAAATCTGCCTCTCACAACATTGCGAGGGTGTGTTGACTGTATACAAATAAAATGAATTCCAACGCAATCTGACAGTCTGAGGTGGAGAAATAAATGTTACAGGCCTACTTTTCAATTTCATGCTGTGCCATTTAGAAAACAATAAAACTATCATGAACTTTTGCGCTCTTGTTGCCCGGGGAAACAGCAAACTGTGAACTATCAAAGCAACACATTTCCAGACAACAAAAATTAAGTGGTTCTTTTTTCTCATGGTTAAAAACCTGTCTTTGATCAGATAATGTTGTAATTTGCATTAACAGCTGATGGGGTTTTACTTCAAACACTAACAGTGGTTGAAATTTGGCATTTAATTCTCCATTCATTGTTTTTGATTAACCTTACATTCAGTAATTCCCTATCAGCCAAGTGCCCTTTAGTGTCTCTTTTATGCAAGTGAAACCCTCATAAAGGAGCAAAAGTAAAGCTGGATTGGAAGGTATGGTATCAAAAGACCTGAACAAAAAAAGAATACGAATATTCATTGTATTTTATAAGCTACTTGAGATTTCAATGCCATGAAAACACATTCAAGTTGTAAACATTTATTTTTTTGCAATTTCCTCCTCATACAGCAGCCACAAATCTTCAGCAGCATTCAATTGGACTTGTGTTTTTAGCTATCTGAAGAATAAGACTCCATTATTACCTCTCATTCTAGCTCGGGTTTAGTCTGTAACTCAGGATTGAGCTGTAAATACCTTTGAGACAGGAATACAAACTAGCTGATTAACGGAAACAAGTAGCTACAAGAGGCTAAAAAGCTACATAGTTCTGCAGAGTTTACTGATAATTCCCTGTGAGTTTGTCAATTTGAGTTATTCCTTTCACATTCCAGAAAGCAATACAAACATTTTTATTTTAATAATTGATCTTTAAATATTGTGCAAAGCCATTGTGCATGTTTCTTGCATTTACTTCACATCCACTTATAGGTGGAATCCCATTCACAGTGAAAAGAAGAAATGCTTTTGGTTTAAAAATATTTATCATAATTTGGATGCCTCAAAGAGACAGAGATGAAAGAGAAGTCTAAATGAAAAAAAACATGACACAGATTGTAATTTCTTGCAAAAATAAAGAATTATTGATCTGATTTCCACACAGACTGGTGCTATAAGCTACTGCATGACATCACAGCTCTGGCAAAAGGCAACATACGAGCTATGTGATGCAAGAATCTGGCACAGGGAGCACTTGTTTCCTATTTGACTGGGCTGGATAAAGTCTTCTGAAGTTGTGCAAATAAAAAAGAAAAGAAAAGGAAAATACTTTTATTTAATCTAAGTAGGTCATCAGTAAAGACTGAGTCCTGTGAAAGTGTGGAGAGCAGAATGTGCCTAGGACACGGCTGTTCTTTTAGCTCAGTATTGATGTTGTCCTCGGGACTTCAGTCGCCCTTTACAGTAACTACACCAGGCAAGTCAAAGATGGGCCATCAATTATTTATATGGCGGGTATACAAGGGGAGATACTGTAAGAGATGTGTATGGAGAGGAGAGGAGAGGAGAGGAGAGGAAGGGAGAGGAGAGGAGAGGAGAGGAGAGGAGAGGAGAGGAGAGGAGAGGAGAGGAGAGGAGAGGAGAGGAGAGGAGATGT